GTGCAGAAGAATGAAACGGGACCATTATTTTACACCATATACAAAGATCAACTCAAAATCAAAGGAAGACTTGGGGGGCCTGGGTGCTCAGTTTGTTAAGTGTCTGTCTCTTGATTTCGGCTCAGGTCATGATCTCAAGGTTGTGAGACTGAGCCCCAGGCCAGGCTCCCTGCTCACTCAGCACAGAGTCTGAGTGGCATTCTCTCTCTCCCTCTCCCTCTATGCACCTCCCCCATTCTCTCAAATAAATAAAGTCTTAAAAAAAAAAATCAAGACTTGATTTTAAGACCTGAAACCATAAAACTCCTATAAGAAAACATAAAAAGATGGTAAACTCAACATCAGTTTTGGTGATCTGAGACCAAAAGCAAAATTAAACAAGTGAAGCCCATATATGAAACTAAAAAGCTTCTGCACAGCAAAGTTTTCGAAACCATCAACAAAATGGAAAGACAACCTACTGAATGGGAGAAAATACCTGTAAATTATCTATCTGTTAAGGGGTTAATAACCAAGTTATATAAAAAACTCAAACACCTCAACAGCAAAAAACAAACTGATTAAAAAATGGGCAGAGGATCTGAATAGATATTTTCCAAAAGACAAAAAGTTGGCCAACAAGTACTGAAAAGATGCTCAACATCACTAATCATCAGGGAAATGCAAATCAAAACCACAATGAGATACCACTTCACACCTGTCAGAATGGCTAGTATCAAATAATTATAAAAAAAAGCAATAACAAGTGTTGGCAAGGATGTGGAGAGAAAGGAGCCCTCATGCACAGTTGGTAGGAATATAAATTGGTGCAGCCACTACGGAAAACAGTGGCTTTAATTTTTTAAAAAATTAAAAATAGAACTATCATATAATCCAGCAATTCCACTTCTGGGTATTTATCCAAGGAAAACAAAAGCACTAGCTCAAAAAGATATATGCACCTTAATGTTCATTGCAACATTATTTACAACTGCCAACATATGGAAACAACCTAAGTGTCTATAGATGGATGAGTGGATAAAGAAAATGTATGTATGTATGTATGTGTGTGTGTGTATTTATTTATATAGAGTATTATACAGCCATAAAAAAGAATGCAATTTTGCCATCTGCGACAACACAGACAGACCTTGAGAGCAGTATGCTAACTGAAATAAAGACAAAGACAAATACTATATGATCTCACTTACATGTGGAATCTTAAAAAAAAAAAATGAGCTCTTAGATACAGAGCATAGATTGGTGGCTCCCTTAAGTGGGGAGGTTGGGAGGGGGGGGTCAAAGTGGGCAAAGGAGGTCAAAAGGTACATATTTCCAGTTATAAAATAAATGTCATGGGGATGCAATATACAGTACGGTGACTACAGTTAATAATACTGTGTGGCATACTAGAAAGTTGCTAAGAGAGTAAATCTTAAAAGTTTTTAGTATGAGAAAAAAAATGTCTAACCACGTATGGTGATGAATGGTAACCAGACTCACTATGATCATTTCACAATATAAACAAATGTTGAACTATTACATTGGGGTGCCTGGGTGGCTCAGTGGGTTGGGCGTCTGCCTTCTGCTAGGGTCCTGATCCCAGCGTCCTGGGATCAAGTCCCACATCGGGCTCCCTGCTCAGCAGGGAGTCTGCTTCTCCCTCTCCCTCTGTCCCTCCCTCCCCCATGCTCTCTCTCTCGTGCACACACTCTCTCAAATAAATAAAATCTTTTTAAAAAATCATGATGTTGTATACCTGAAGCTAATATGTTGTGATAGGTCAATTACACCTCAATAAACAAAAAATTACACATGGATATCTCCTTTCTCCCAGCAATCCTAGTTTGAAGAACTGATTCTACAGATGTGCTAAATTAAACAGGTAAAAGGTATTCACTGCAGCATCGATGGGATATCAAAGTTGCCACTCAAGAGAAAGAAGGAGTTATTTCTACCACATAGGAACCACCTCTAAGAGATGTTAAGACAAAACAGTAAGGTGTAGCACAGTCTAGAAAAATGTCTACATGCATGAAAAATATGCTGTACATATTTGCACATGTGTTTTTAGTCTATACGTACAGCCTGTCTCTGAAAAAACAAGCAAGCAATATGGTAATAGTGGCTACCTCCTGGGAGAGACCTGGGTGACTTGGGGAAGAGGAGGAAGGGAGATGCATCATTTACTCTGTACCCTGTTTGGTGTGGTGTGATTTTTTACAGCAATGAGTACCTGAGGGGGGCCGAGAACTTCAGAGCAAGAAAGGAAACGTCAGATGGCTAAGAACATGGAAAGGACAGAAGAGTACTGACATTCAAGAAGGGATGTGCAGGAATAAAGAGCTAGTAGAAGAGAGAAATAGGGAAGGAGGTGCTTTAAGAGCCCAAGTAAAGATCTCAAACTCTTAAAAAATATATAATAGCAGAAGTCCTTCCTAGTAAAATGTGAAACTTCAATATATAAAGTAGATAAAACAAGTATTTTATCATATATTTTATAAGCTCAAATGCAAACATTTCTTTAGGTCAAACACTGAATATAATGATGCTCTCAAAACATAAACTTGAAATGGGGAGTATAGAGGAGTATCTCAGGAAAACCTTAAAATACACAGAAATGGCAAGAGAAGCTTTATACCAAGGTCCGCTCCGAACAATGAACATGGCAGTACACATAGGCACACCAGTGATCTCCAGCATGTCAAATTTGGTATATGACATGTTCAAGTGTGTTTTTCTTTTAATCTGTCTTGATTGCTTTAAAAACTGGATTATATATTTAAAAAAAAAAATTTGAACCTAATGTTTATGTCATGTGGGAAGCAACAAAGACAAAATTTGCAAACCACTGGCCTGGAAACACTGCATTATGATGAAAACCTGTGAGATTTATTGAGAAGCTACCTTGTGATTGGATGGGTTCAATTAAGCCTCATTCTCAGACAAGTGGGTGCTCTTCTATGGCTCTTATCTCCCTGTCTCCTTCCACAGCCCCCACCCTAGACCTCTGTATCCCCATAACAATGGCTCTCAACTCCAGCCACAAGGCTACTTCCTCCAGCCTTCCCACTTGGCCCCAAAGCCCTTTGCTGCCATTATGATGACAAGATACTGACAGATACAAGTCTATGTTCTAGATCACTCAGTGCAGGCCTGCATAACTAGGTATGTTGGTCTTGCACTGACTGCCACATTATCATTATTAAAAACAGTAACACAAATCCTGGAATGAGAGAAAACAGCTATAAAGGACTTAACTATGACAACTGATGACATTTTAGAATATGAACTATGGATTAGATAATGGCATGTTTCAATATTAAATTCCCTGATTTTTGATAACTGTATTGTGATAATGTAAGAAAATGTCATTATTCTTAGAAAATACATACTGAAATACTTAGGGCAAAGAGGTGTGCTATCTCTATTCTCAAAATGATTCAGAAAAAATATACATACATTCACTTAGAATGTTAATAGCAAACAACTGGTGAATCTGGGTAGATGTACAGGATTTCCATGTACCATTTTCTGTAAGTTTGAAATTATAAAAAAATAAAACTTAAAAAAAAAATTTGATCCTAAGTCTGTTCCATTCAGAGCCAAAGCTCCTAAATGTCACCTAGCCCTATCCTATCACCCTTACTGTATAATCTTTCCCTCCCAACTTTATCACAGAAGCCACCATTTGGGTTCTAAGCATTGTTATTCATGAAAACATCACAGCACTTATTATCTTCCCAGGCCTTAGGGCTTTGGAGATTATCACTGAAGTCAGGGCTAGAAATGAAAACTCACTGAAGCCATCACCACCAACAAAGAACCAAAAAATCATCCTATAACCTTCATTTTCCTTAAAAACAAAAACAAACCAAACCTTGAAATACAGTCAATTCAGCTGCACTCAGGGTATGTCTAATTTTATTGACAGTTCACAATGAAAAGATTTCAACTACATTTACTATATATAAAGCTCATGCCAAAGGGTTATCTTCCCCAGAGAGACTAAAAGCTCAACACCAAGCATCTATTCTACAAGACTTCTGTTCAAGGGACCTTACTGCATTGCATTCCAGCCAGGACAACAGTGTCACCATGGGCCAAGCACCATGGCATGGGGATAGCCCACTGTAAGGAATGGGATGCTAGAATGGCCCTTAGGAAAAGAGAGATTCTTCTCATACCAAAATGGGGGGAAAGGTGTACTCTCTTGATATATACATTAGCTACTGACAGTCTCCTGGAGAACTTTCTATGTTCTCATCTGCCCTCAGATGGTTGTGAGCCCATGATGTATAGGCCATGATTAAATGCAGTTAGCTCCTTTCCCAGAGTTGGGAGAGTTTTGTAGGCAGAATGCTAACACATACTCCACAAAACTATAAAGGACCCATTTTTAAGTCGTAATGATCAAATAAGAACAAAATAAAAGAGAAAAAATAATTTAGCTATAGAGTTCTTAATTCTGAGGAACAGTAAAACCTTGTTAATGCTGGGCCCATTACTTCTGAATTTCCAAACACTCAGCTACGTGTTTCCTACTGGTGTGAAGTTAAAATGACTTACTTATATGAGCTTCAGTGTTTATGATAAAATATTACACAATACAGACACAATGGGAATATAATCTTTAACTTCTTTCATTAAATAAAACGAACTCTTCTATGTTTAGTTTATAATATGGGCGCCTGGGTGGCTCAGTTGGTTAAGCCACTGCCTTCGGCTCAGGTCATGATCCTGGAGTCCCGGGATCAAGTCCCGCATCGGGCTCCCTGCCCAGCGGAGGGTCTGCTTCTCCCTCTGACCCTCCCCCTTCTCATGCTCTCTCTCTCTCTCATTCTCTCTGTCAAATAAATAAATAAAATCTTAAAAAAAAAATAGGTTAGTCCAAAAAATCACTTTTAAGAGTAGGTAAACATTATAGAAATTATCTAGTTACGATATCATCCTGTTCACTTATACCAAGCGTGGAATAAACTGTAAATGAAGCAATCCTTTTACTTAGTCACTCAAATTACCTGTCCACCCTGGTATTCTCTCAAACTCGTGTTATGTAACTAGTATTTTTTCTGCCATTCATCTTTTTTTCATGTTTTTGTTGTTGTTGTTGTTTAGCCTTTTGATTCAGCTTGTTGAGGTAACTTTGAATCTTTAATCTGTGTGTCATCAACATATTATCCCTTCCTCCCAAGTTGTTGACAGTGACTTCAATACACACATCTTCTCAGAGCCCTGGGGAAGTCTAAACCTATAATAAGTGAATACCAATTAGTTAATAACAATAATACTAGCAATAATTATTGCATATAATTAGTACATACTGAACCATTAGTATGTGCCAATCACTGTTCTATGCACTTTACAAGCAATCTCCCATTGATTCTTCAAAATAACCTTATGAGGTTTACATACATTTTCTAAATGAAAAAAACTGAGGCACTGAAAAGTTAATTTTTAAGGTCGAAATAGCTAAAAAGTGGGGCACTGAATCTGACTTCAAGTGGGGGCCCATACACTTAACTACGAGGACATACTGCCTCTCAATTTGGAAGCATTTAAGTAATTAAATGGTACACTGATCCCAATAGTTTCAAACAATAGTTTAAACTTTTGCATAAAAAGTAAGCTAGTTCAATCAATGTAAACTTTTTTTTTCTTTTTTAAAGAATAAATGAGGTTGTATTGTACTTGATGCCCAAGAAGCACAACTCCTTAGTGAAATCCTGAGGTAGGTTTGTTCTGCAAAGGATTCAGAAGACAGGACTACCTTTGGGCAGGTGGCTGGAACCAAGTGGGATTGGTGCAGGTACCTGAATTCGCTGAGGTGAAGCTACCGCAGAGTCGGTGGAGATTATCTGGATGCGTGGGGAGGGGCTGGTCATCCCTGGAGATTCCGGCCGAGAGGTCTGTGTCCGTGGTACCTGTGGGGGAGAAGTGGGCTGGATCACAATGGAGCTCAGAAAAATGCCCAGTGGTAGCTGGGGACCATGCCTCTTGCTTTCACTGTGGCTTTGAGTAATAAACTTGAGTAGTTCTGGTGTTTGCACCCAGAACGACAAAGGAACTAATGAGATAATGCCACAGGATGGCTGTAAGAAAATACAATCTTAAAAGAGCTATTTCTAATGCTGAAAATGCAAAAACAAATAACCCCCCCATAAAACAAAAAAATTCCCACAAAAAACACAGAGGAATTTCAAATCTGCTCTATACAACTTTAAATAAATAGCTACTAGAGTAACTTTTTAGAAATGATCTTTGAATGTTTTCACTGTCTCCAAAACCAGCTGTAAAACACTCCTTTAAGATGATAGTTTCCAGAAGAAAGGCTCTCATAACACCATAAAGGATGGCAAAAAGAACCAGCACTACACTGAAAAACTACTTGTGAAAGAGTCCTGGTAATCCCCCAGTCCCACTGGGATGGGGCTGGGAAAAGCCCATCAATTATACAAAGGTCTGGAATTTAGTCAATACCCACCAAAGGCAAGGTTCAAGGTCCTGAGTGGTCATCTAGGCACCTGAAGTGGGCAGTTATTACTTTTCCTTGAATAAAAGTATATCATGGGGCACCTGGGTGGCTCCATTGGTTAAGCGACTGACTCTTGATTTCAGCTCAGGTCATGATCTCAGGGTCATGAGATCAATCCCCACATCAGCTCCACACTGGGCATTGAGCCTGCTTAAGATTCTCTCTTAAGGGGCGTGTGGGTGGCTCAGTTGGTTAAGTGCCTTCGGTTCAGGTCATGATCCCAGGGTCCTGGGATCAAACTCCATGCAGGGCTACCTGCTCAGTGGGGAGCCTGCTTCTCCCTCTCCCTGCTCATGCTATCTCTGTCACTATCTCTGTCTCTTTCTCTCTCTCAAATAAATAAATAAAATCTTAAAAAAAAAAAAAGGTTCTCTCTTAAGAGATTCTCCCTCTCCCTCTGCCCCTCCCCCTGGTTCGCATGTGCTCGCTCTCGTAAAAAAAAGAAAAAAAGTATATCATGAACCATGCTTTATAAGCTCTTCCAAAAAACAGGTGGGGGAACACTTCTCAATTCATTCTATGTAACCAAAACTAGGCAAAGACATCACAAGAAAACTACAGAAGACCAATATTCCTTATGAATATAGGTGCAACAATCCTCAATAAAACATTAGCAAACTGAATCCAGAGGCATATAAAAAATTATACATCATGAGGGTACCTGGGAGGCTCAGTTGGTTAAGCAGCTGCCTTTGGCTCAGGTCATGAACTCAGAGTCCTGGGATGGAGGCCTGCGTTGGCCTCCCTGCTCACCAGGGAGTCTCTTTCTCCCTCTCCTTCTGCCCCTCTCCCTCCTCTCATGCGCGCATGAGCTCTAATAAATAAAATCTTTAAAAAAAATTATACACCATGACCACGTGGGATTTACCACAGAAATACAAGGCTGGCTCACCATATGTATGTAATGTAATCTGCTGTATTAATAGAGGATAAAAGCCTCAACATCTCAATTGACACACAAAAACCATTTGACAAAATCCAACACCATTTCACAAAAAAAAAACCATTCAACTACCTAGAAACAAAGTTCTCAATCTGGGGCACCTGGGTGGCTCAGTTGGTTAAGCATCTGCCTTTGGCTCAGCTCATAATCTTAGGTCCTGGGATCCAGTCCAATGTTGGGCTCCCTGCTCAGTGGGAAGCCTGCTTCTCCCTCTCCCTCTGCCCCTCCCCCCGCTCATGCACACACACTCTCTCTCTCAAGTAAATAAATAAAATAAAGAGTTCTCAATTGGATAAAGAGTATCTATAAAATACAGCTAACACAATACTTAATGGTAAAAGACTGATAGTTTTCTTTAAAAAATTTATTTATTTATTTGAGAGAGAGAGCATGTGCAAGAGTGGGGGTGGGGTGAAGGGGGGTTGGGAGGAGGGGCGGAGGGAGAGAGAGAATCTTAAGCAGGCTCCATGCCCAGCACAGAACTCTCACGGGGCTTGATCTCATGACCCCGAGATCATGACATGAGCCAAACCCAAGAGTTAGTTGCTTAACTGATTTGAGTCACCCAGGCACCCCAAGACTGCAAGGTTTCTTTTTCTTTTTCTTTTTTTTTAAAGATTTTATTTATTTATTCATGAGAGACAGAGAGAGAGAGAGAGAGAGAGGCAGAGGGAGAAGCAGGCTCCCAAGGAGCAGGGAGCCCGATGCGGGACTCGATCCCAGGACCCTGGGATCATGACCTGAGCCGAAGGCAGACGCTTAACCATCTGAGCCACCCAGGCGCCCGTTTTTTTTTTTTTTTAAGATTTTATTTATTTATTCATGAGAGAGAGAGAGAGAGAGAGAGAGAGAGTGCAAGGTTTCTAATTAAGGTCAGAAACCAAAGATTTCCCCCCTCCCTCCCAAAAAGTCTCTTAGAAAAAATAAATTCAGGAAAGCAGCAGGATACTAAGTCAACACAGAAAAATCAGTAGCATTTCTATACAAAATGAACAATCTGGAAAGGAAATTACAAAAAAAAAAATTCCATTGTGATAGCATCAAAAAGAATCAATTACTTAGCAATTAAGTTAACCAAAGAGGTAAAAAAGACCTGTATAATAAAATCTATAAAACACTGCTAAAAGAAATTAAAGATATAAGTAAATGGAAACATATTCTGTGTTCATGGACTGGAAGACTTAATATTGCTAAGATGTCAATACTACACAAAGTGATCTACAGATTTAATGCAACCCCTGTCAAAATACCAGTGTTTTTTGCAGAAACAGAAAATCCATCCCAAAATTCGTATGGAATCTCAAAGGACCCTAAACAGATAGCCAAAACTACCTTGAAAAAGAACAAAGCTGGAGAACTCACACTTCCTGATTTTGCTACAAAGTGAAAATAATCAAAACAGTGTGATATTGGTATAAAAACAGACATAAAGACCAAAGGAACAGACTAGAGATCCCAGAAATAAAACCTGGCATATAATGGTTAAATGATTTTTGATAGAGGTGTCAAGATCATTTGGTGGGGGAAAGGACAGTCTTTTCAACAACTGGTGCTGGAAAAACTGGCTATCCACATGCAAAAGAATGAAGTTGTACCTTTATCTAACACCATATACAAAAATTAACTCAAAATGGATCAAAAATCTAAATTTAAGACCTAAAACTACAATATCCAGAATATACAAAGAACTCCTAAATTCCAACAACATAAAAAACCTAACCCAAATAAAAAATGAATAAAGGACTTGAATACACATTTCTCCACAGAAGATACAAAACAGCCAATAAGCACATGAAAAGCCATTCAACATCACTACTAATCATTAGGGAAATAAAAACCAAAACTACATCAAAATGCCATCTCATGCATACTAGGATGGCTACTATCCAAAAAACCAGAAAATAACAAATGTTGATGAGGATGTGAAGAAACTGGAACTCTCATGCACTGCTGGCAGGAATATAGAATGGTACAGCCTCTTTGGAAAACAGTCTCACCAATCTTCAAAAGTTAAACACAGAGTTGTCATATGAACCAACAGTTTCACTCCTAGGTATATACTCAAGAGAAAAGCAAACACATGTCCACACAAAAATTTGTATAGTAATGTTCAGCATTATTCATAACAACTCAAAAGTAGAAACCACCCAAATGACTATCAACTGATGAATGGATTAAAAAAAAGAGTGGTATATCCATGCTATGGAATAGTATTTAGTAATAAAAAGGAATGAAGTACTGATACATGCTACAACATGGATGAAATCAGTCATAAAAAACCACATATATGATTCCATTCATATAAAATGTAATAGGCAAATCCATAGCTAAAGAAAGTAAATTAGTGGTTCCCAGGACTGAGGGGATGGGGGAAGGTGGAATAACTGCTAATAGGCATGGAGTTTCTTTGGGGGATGATGAAAATGTTCTGGAATTAGTGGTGTTGGTTGTTTAACACTGCAAATGTATCAAATACGTATCTTTTTTTTTTTTTTTTTAAGTAGGCTCCATGCCCAGTGTGGGGCTTGAACTCACAACCCTGAGATCAAGAGTCACATGCTCTACCAACTGAACCAGCCAGGTGCCCCAAAACTATATACTTTTAAAGGGTGAATTTTATGGTAAGTGAAACAGATCTCAGTTTTATAAAGCACATCACAATTGATTAATTGTTGGGGGTAGTTATGAAAAGCTTTTTTCTTTCACAGCATTAATTTAACCAACCAAAAAGATTACATTATAAAGACAACAGAATACAATATTCTCATAGT